GGGGGAGTGGGAGAGGGAGAAGCAGGCTTCCCGCCGAGCAGGGAGCCCGACGCGGGGCTCAGTCCCAGGACCCCGAGATCATGACCCGAGCCGAAGGCAGACGCTTAATGACTGAGCCACTCAGGTGCCCAAGGACTCCTTTTTCTTAACCACATTGTCATTATCACACCAAGAAAAGTGAATAATTTCCTAATGTAATAAAATATGTCCATATTCAGATTTCCCTAATTGGCTCATCAATGTTTTTAATAGTAACTTGTGGGTATCTATATATTCAAAGTGTTTCACTCAGCTGCATTCATTCCTTTTATGATTAGACTGTCCCATCTTTGGCAATGGAGCCACACGGACATGTGGCCTTTGACATGTCTCTATCAGGATTATTTTAAGATTTAAAAAAAAAACAAACTTTATTCAAGACAGTCATAACCTATTTACCTCAAACAACTCTATCAGTAAAATTCATTATATTAAAATGATTTTCCTAAAGAACAGAATAGAGAGAAGGACATATCAGTAATAAAGTTAACAACTATATGCATCAAATGTTAGTTGTTGAAATTAAAGTATATTTATTTACTTGTGTCTCATTACTTTTAATACCAGTGGTTCTTAACTTTGTGGAAATTCTCCACAGAATAATTCCCATACACACAAAATTTTGTACCCGTTCACAGATCTCTTGAAACCTATTCATGGATCTCATTTTCAAAATAAATGACAGTTTTTATAAATTGATTTATTGTTTTTTGGACATGCTGGAAACTCTCCCTTCTCATAATTTTCAGTTTATTTTTAAAACAAATTAACTTTACCAGCTAAAAACCTACCTACAATATTAATGGGTACAGATGTACCCTGCTTAAAATCATTTTATTAAACATTTTTCAGTGACGGTTCCTATGTTTAAAGTTTAAGAAAAAAAGCGTTTTTTTAATCTGCACCCAACGTGGGGCTTGAACTCATGGCCCCAAGATTAAGAGTCACATGCTCTACTGGCCAAGCCAGGCAGGCGCCCCAGAAAAATAAAAGCATTTTTTAAAAAGGTTTATTTATTTTAGAGAGAGAGCACACAAGCAGGGGGAGGGGCAGAGGGAGAGGGAGAGAATCTCAAGCAGACTCCTCACTGAGCCCAAGAGCCCAATGCAGGGCTCAATGCAGGGCTCGATCCCACAACCCTGAGGTCATGACCTGAGCCAAAACCAAGAATCTGATGCTCAACCAACTGAGCCATCCAGCCGCTCTAGAAAAAAAGCCTTTTTAATAAAATCAAATCATTACTGAAACCATTGTCCTTTTTTTTTTTTTCAAGAAACATGACTAGAAAAATGTCAATATTTCAAAGGGAAGAATTTTTCTGCAGAGACACTATCCAGGAGCAAAGCAAATTCCTTTTTTTTTTTTTTTTTAAGATTTGTTTATTTTAGAGAGCGAGCGTGCATGAGTAGGGGGAGGGGCACAGGGCGAGGGAGAGAATCTCAAGCAGATTCCCTGCTGAGCCTGGAGTCTGACGTGGGACTCGATCCCAGGACCCCGAGATCATGACCTGAGCCAAAATCAAGGGTGGGCTGCTTAACTGACTGAGCCACCCATCTGCCCCAGGAGCAAAGCAAATTCTAAACGCAGTAAGATCATGGCGCTATCATAGTCTCGAGGATTTTGAGACATTGGCCTGTCGATAATGTGCATGCCTGCAATCTATGTGCGTGCCTGTTTGAACTTTTTCCACCTCTGAGAGCTTGCCGTCATTTTGATGAAGGTTGCTGAAGTCCGTGGACATGGTATTGTTTTCATCTCAACTCTTTCAGCATGTTTTCCAGTATGTTTGGGAAAAAAAAACAAAAAACCTCTAAGTATTTTCCCAGAGCATGTAGCTCTTTTATGGCTCATGCCTGTTTGGATGATGCTGGAATACTTTTGTAAAAACACTGGATTCCTGACTACGTGTTTTGCTTGAAAAATCTGCTTTTTGCATTCAGCATTTTTTTCATGTTCTTTATGCTCCATTCTATGTCTTAGTGGATTTTTTTTTTTTGTAATTTTCCGATTCTCTGAGATTTACATTATATACTGGCAAGGTTTTGCCCACTGAAAACCCGTATTGTGACAGTGTGCTCAGTACATGCTGGTATTAGCCGTATCCCTCCTCCTGGAATCCAAAGTTGTACCGTTTAACGCAACTCTTTACTAGCTGATTCTCTATCCCCATCAACTGAGGGATACTTCCAGTGACTCACGGTCAATCATGATTCCTGTGGCCTGCACAGCAGTCATGATGGCGGTTCTCATCCCATTTTTGTTATTAAAAATACTTTAACATTTTAATAACAATTTAGTAAAGTATAATTCACATACCATAAAAAAAACCACATGTACGAGTGGTTTTTAGTATATTCACATAACTGCAGCCAGCACCACTTACCTGATTACAGAACATTTCATCACTCCAAGAAGAAACTCCACTAGCAGTCCCCATTAGTCTTTGAGGCTTTTCTGTGCCTCAACAAGATGACCTAGGTGCATCATGTACATTTCAGGCCCAAGACCTTGAACTAGCATGCCATTCCTTCAGTGAGCCCGAGACATGGAGATGGTATTTAGAAATGAACAATTTAGGCACTGGTGGTGCTCATTCTTTGTCTTCATATCTAGGTATTTTAGTGGACAGAACTAGGATATATGAATTTTTAAGAGGAAAAAATATTATAAAACTTTTTTCAATTCAAACTTGTAGAATCTTTAGCTGCAATTTGATATTACATTTCTTTCTCCCACATTGAAAACCCACCAATATTTTTTTTAAGATCTATTTATTTTAAAGAGAGAGAGCATGCCCGTGAATCGGGGGGGAGGGCAGAGAGAGAGAGAAGCAGACTCCCCCTGAGCCTGGAGCCTGATCAAGGGCTCAATCTCACGACCCGGAGATGGTGACCTGAGCTGAAATCAAGAGTCAAACACTTGGGGCGCCTGGGTGACTCAGTCGTTAAGCATCTGCCCTCAGCTCAGGTCATGATCCCAGGGTCTTGGGATCGAGCCCCGCATCGGGCTTCCCGTGGGGAAGCCTGCCTCTCCCTCTCCCACTCCCCCTCTCTCTGTCAAATAAATAAATAAAATCTTTAAAAAAAAAAAAAAAAGAGTCAAACGCTTAACCGACAGAGCCACCCGCCCCCAAAACCCAACAGTATTAACATATTTATTCTGTGAGTTGTAAAATTTGTAAATATTACTGATATCACTATTAGCCATAAGACTACTGAATAAAGCTTAAGTTTCTTGTAAGCCCTGTTTGTCTCTAAAATGCATTGTATTAGGTGTATATAGTCAAAATACAGCATTG